GTTTCCGATCGCCTGTGCTCGTTTTGATGCATGTCAGCAATTGAAAAGTTTTTGGAAGAACCTTTTACAACTAACATTTCGAGTATTAAAAATTTCAAATCAGTTAGTTAGATATGTGTATTGGAATGTGTAGCACCATGCCGTCTGTCAGACGTGGAAAGCGGACCACTACAACCCGGTCACCACCAGTGGCGGTGCCAGCCGCCGGTGGTTGGAGGGGCAAAGCTGAGGCAAAGTCCAAGGTTAAGGGGGCAAAGGCACGAGCTTCAACTACGGGTAGGGGGGGTCCCCCAGAAATTTTAGAAAAAAAAGGCTGCCGGAAATGCAGCCTGGCAGTATTTCAGGCACTGATAGTTGAGATAATGAAATGAAATGAAATGGAGTTTAACGTCCTACTGTTCTGCTCCTAACCTGGGCTAATGAAGATAAAGTGTCAAACGACAGAACCTCGACGAAACCCACCCACGAGCGCCAAAGTATTTAGGCAACGATTGTCGAGATAAATAGAGCTGATCAGATACCGTCTGTCGCCTGATCACTAGTCTATCCGACCCCAGAGAAGAAAGTGTCAAATGAACGGACTTGCGAACCTCAACGAAGCCCCCGAAAATTTGAAAAGTAGACCGTCGGAAATGCAGTCTGGCAGTATTTCAGGCACTGATCATTGAGATAAATAGAGCTTACCAGATACCGCCTGTCGCCAAATCACTAGTTTATCCGACCAGATAGGAAAGTGTCAAACGGACGGAGTGAGTGAATCAAAGTGAATGAATATTTTCGCCACGACATTTTGTGAAATAGACTGCCGGAAATGCAGCCGGGCAGTATTTCAGAAATAGAGCTGACCAGATACTGTTCGCCGCCAAATCACCAGCTTATCCGAACAGAGAGGGAAATTTCAAACGGACGGAGTGAGTGTATCAAGTGAATGCATATTCTCACCGCTTTGAACCTATATACCCAAAAACTTTGAGGATCGTTAAAAGCACTTCTCAAGTGGTTCGCGTGTTATTGTTTATAGTAGGTTTACAGCAGGATGGGCTTGGTAAGAAATCACTCAGACTCTACAACATGCAAATTTCTGACTGAGTGGGAAGGTGGTATTAATCATCCTAGAAGGTATTGATTACCGAAACGTATCAAAATATTTTTTTTTATTTTCCAAAATTATTAGGGGGGGGGGGGGTGGAAACAGAGAGCAGACCAGATTATAACCTGCCCCCCACCCTTGACGCCGCCACTGGTTACCACATCCGGCGTATAACCCATGCATCGTTTCTTACTACATATTTAGAACAGCCCTCCTTGTTCGTCTAGTATTGTCTCTAGTTGCATTTGTAATTCTTTGGTTAGGACGTATCTTTAAATGTCATTCGGACATTCTCCATTAATGACGACTTGACATTGTGATTGAATATACTGCATCTTAAATAGTATGATTAACAGGAATAACAAATACCAGAGTTTCTTGATTACGGTTTTATATTAAGCTCCAATACGTAAGATATTATACATAGTTACAAGCATCTATTATTATACTAATATTTGTGACTGTCGTTTGTCTGTCTGTCTGTCTGTCTGTCTGTTCGGGGTTGGCGGCTACACTAGGTCTGCCCCGAGTCTGAAATTTGGGGTATAGGGGTAACTCGGACCGGGGAGTAACATAGGCCAGGTGACCTTAGTCTACCACTTCCGGTTTCGGAGTTATGACCCCCCGAGCGAAGCCGGTCTGTTCGAGGTTGGCGGCTACACTAGGTCTGCCCGAGTCTGAAATTTGGGGTATAGGGGTAGCTCGGATCGGGGAGTAACATAGGCCAGGTGGCGTTAGTTTACCACTTCCGGTTTCGGAGTTATGACCCCCGAGCGAAGCCGGTCTGTTCGGGGTTGGCGGCTACACTAGGTCTGCCCCGAGTCTGAAATTTGGGGTATAGGGGTAGCTCGGACCGGGGAGTAACATAGGCCAGGTGGCGTTAGTTTACCACTTCCGGTTTCGGAGTTATGACCCCCGAGCGAAGCCGGGTATCCTGCTAGTAAATTATAATAAATTAATTCTCCACTCTCTCGACCCCACCATTCCGTAGAACGAGTTTACTGACGGATCCCAATACATCATATGATTCTCCTACGACTTAACGGGGCGTTCTGAAACCGGATGGTGTCCCTTGAGCCTCAACGATCTCCCATCTCTTAGAATCTGCCTTGTGTCTAACCTACAACGCACATTCTATTAATTATATTCTTAGATTCACAGCCATTAATTATTCTATTGGCTATTATTCTATTATGATGTAATTAATCATGTGATTGGTCACGCATGCCAACATGAAATGGTACCTTTCCGAGCACGTACTTTTAGAGAAATGGGGTTTAACGTCCACTCGACACAAACTACATGTAGGTCATTTCGGGACTAACATACGGTTTAATTTTTTTATTTCAATAATTCGCTTGCGCGTAGGGGTCTTTAGCAGTGGGAGGAAACCGGAGGACTCGGAGAAAACCCACGACTCAATGACAGGCTTTATGATACAGCACGCACGTGCTAACCATTCGGCACTCCAACCCCCTGACGTACTTTTAGACAATCGAGGATAATCAATCAAGGCCATAATATTATCATACATGCAGAGGCGTAGCCGTGAAATATATATTAGGGGAGGGGTTCGCAAATGAAATTATATAAAATGTTGACAATCTGTGACGCCGGAGGCACGAGGCGCGATAGGGAGGGTGTGGAAGGGTCACCCTCCCACTCAGGGGCGGATTGGGGCCGGGAACCGGCCCGGGCTCCCGTGTCGGAGCGGCCCCTTTTACTGACCGCGGAGCCCGGATGGGGGTTCCTGGGGCTCTCCTCCATGAAAATTTTGAAAAATGAACCCCAAATATGCGATTTGGTTATCTGATTATTATCTCTGTCAAATAATATATCTCATAAATTGATTCATTTAGGCCAAAACCCCGACCTACAAGTAATTTACAACCATCAACCTGTGAAATTATCATATCGTCATATCATTAATTAACGTATTATCATTGTATCGTCAAGACCAGCTATCATCAAATTTTGCCGAGGCCTTAAAATTGAATTTTTTTTTGGGAGTTACGAACCATCGGCAGACGTTTCTGGCGACAGTGACGGGTGAATCCGATGAAATTTTTGGATGAAATTCGGAATCCCTATTGCAGGATTCCGAATTCCGGCCCACACCCAGCACACCCGGCCCAGAAAGTCTATTATACCAGCCCAATCCAGATTCCAGTGATGGCGTGGCGGCCCGTTAAAGCCACCGGCCACATACAACATGATCATCCTCGCTCCATGGCCGGTCCAATGCCCCCCCCCCCCCCATATAATATTCAGCAGAAAAGGTTTTTTAGACGAATTGGACAAAATTATTTTTTTTCATTTTTTGTCCGACCGGCCCTTCGGGCTATCGCCCGATCGCCCGATGGCCCGATCCGCCCCTGCTCCCACTGTGGGGGGGGGGGGGCACCCCCATAAATATTTTTTCAGTCTTCTGTAAACACTGTTTTGGCATATTTTACGGGGTTAAACTAAAACATCACACCAATACAATGTTTATCATGTTTAAGTCAGGGGGTGCCGTATTCATATTTTTTTCATGACTTTTACATATTGAATGTTACGCTTGAATTATGAACAATACGACAAAGAGAGTTTAGTAGGGGAATTTTTATGAAACAAAACTTGATCACATAACTTTAGTTTATGAGAGTGCATATTTGACAATCACCTTGTTAACTACAATACTATATACATATACACATTGACATTTACAAGAAAGTTGTATAGATATTTAAAGTATTTTGTACATTTTGTGTATTATAAATGGATTTCAAAAAGTAAACATAAGTGTTTGTGTTTTAATTTGTACATTGTTTTATACAGATAGAATCTTAAATAGGAGTTAGGGCCTACTATGTAAATTTTTTATTATTTTTTTTTTGGGGGGGGGGGGGGGGGGTCCAAGTATATTCAGGGATTTGGAGTTTTTATTTTCCATAGTTAAAAAAGTAAAAAAGGGTGTTATGGGTTGTGGTGTATATACGTTTCTATCGTAGTTATACTTTTGAAATTTTGGTCTTGGTTTTGTGGAAACTAGGATTTGATTCTCGTGTTTGGTGGAATTTATTCTTTGTGTCCTTAGTTTAAAATATTGAGGAGTTACTTTGGTTTTAGAAGGTTTTGTTGTACATTTCACTTTGAGGTTGTTTATCGGGTGAGTTGATTTGTATCCTAATTGACTTATTTGGGTGGCGCATTTTATTAAAAGATATGAATCAGTATTTTCTCTCACTCTTCTTTTTCTGCTTGGATGACTGGTTCGTTCCCGATTGATACAGCTCATTTCCACAAAGTAGGCATTTTATTCTTATTCATGATGCTTTTGAAGTTCTTTATGTGATGTTATTGTTGATACTTTGATGCTGCATCTTTAACCTGTAACCGCGTTCCCGGGATGATCATTATATTTTGTTGTAACTATGTGATATATTGATGATATTTATATAAACTTTTAAAACCATCTTGCGTTATCATTTCTCCTAACCCTATCCCGAACACTTAAAGAGGCGAGTCTTAAACTTTTCTTTAGGCGCCGCATATAGCTGCGACATGTGTTCTTTAGCACAAATCCCCCATCCATATTACTATGGGACTGTGTTTTTGGAGGATTTTTTTGTTGTTGAGACAGCACACCTCACTGCTGTGAAAGAAATCTTTCCAAATATTTGATATCTATATTGGGTGTTTTATTATTTACCTGGAAGCAAGTGCGCCTATTGTCACGGTGATGGGAACTTTATATTTACACTGATCCCCGATCATTACCTTGTATTTACATGTATTTCGTTTGTATTGTTCTCGCTTAGTACAGGTAATTTCCTCTTATGAATTCAAAAGGCGACACTAAGTGGTAGCATAAAGGTCAAGTAAGGTCCAGTAAACGTCGTCCATTGTTCGGCCAGTAACAGTAGTAATAATAATTCGTGTCCGTGTTGTTTAACTGAATGCGGTGAAAACAAATATATAGGGTCGTGTCGAAAATGTAAAACATGTTATATATGCATTATGTCTCTGTGTGTGTGTGTGTGTGTGCGAGAGAGAGAGAGGGAAAGAGAGAGAGAGAGAGAGAGAGAGATTCGACATCAGGAGACTTCCAAAGAATTTGAGAGTTAAATGGATACATTTTGTCCGACTTCAGATCAATCCAAAGCGGTTGTGAATTGGTATGTTAATGGTTCAATTAATATATAAATTGGGTTAAGTACGACCAAAATGGACATAATAGATTTAATATTGGGTCAGGTGAAATGTCAGATTTGCTTCATATAATCGAGTGTATGATTATATTACATTAAATACATTATTAGTATATTTTCATTTACATACTATCATTTTTTTTTACCTTCATTAAACAATAGTTGACTGAAAGTATATCAGAAGTGTAATAGCTTTTAATAGAGACAAATTCTCAATACTACATATTATTATTAAAAACAGTATACAATGCGTTAGATTTATTTTATAATTGTTTGCTTCGTTGCTTTTTATGGACACGAATGACAATGTTTTGGTATTTGTGTTAATAATGACCCGTTTGTTAATAACAATGCTTTATTTGTGTGGGAATGTTATTAAGGGGTTAGTGTCACAACCTAACATTACCGAACACTACAACCCTGTTCTGTATCTAGTTTACCTAAAGGATTAATAGTCCATCGTTTCACATTGTGAGTGAAATAAATCTCTATCTAACGCCTGGGAAAATGTTTTTCGGATATACCTTGACAGCATTTAGCTGTTCTGAGGCTTGCAATTATATACAGGCTGAGATCTAATCTTCAAATTAATAGGATGGAACCAGGAATTAAAATTATGATTTCAGACAATTCATTTTTTCAGCCATTGTGTTAAGTCGCTAAAATGGGGCTGAAATAGTTGTAACTATTTGCTATGCCAAATAAGAAGGGAATTCGTCAAGGTACTGGCATCACACCACTCTTTATTTCACATATTTTTATAACAGAAATTCAGTCCGATCTCCTTTACAAAAGCTATGCCAAGAAGAGAATTCGTCAAGGTAATGCGAAAATACCACTTTTAAAAGAGAAATTTCACCCCGTTTACAGAAGCTATTTTTAGTCGCCTAAACACCCAGAACATTATATTGTTTTGTTTAGTTTAAAGAAATGTTTTGTGCTGGGTATTTTATTAATGGTGTGTGTTTTTTTATTTCCGTTTCCCTGTCATACAAATGACAAAAGCAGTTTTTAGTCACCTAAACACGCGAAACATTCAATTTCTTATATTTTGTTTTATTTGTTTTAAAGGGGTGGTTTTGCTGGGGAAATTATTAATGATGGGTTTTTTTTATATTTTCTTTTATCTGTTTTACAAAACGACAAAAGATGTTTTTATTCGCCTAGGCACCTGTAGCACTTTATTTGTTGCATGTTTTGTTATGTTTAGTTTAAAGGGATGTTTTGCTGGGTACACTTGAATAGTGTTTCTCATATTCGTTTTCCAGAAAAAAACCGAATTAACAAAATAATGTCCTTTTAATATAAAATAGTTCATATATATGTCTCAGGTGTACTGGGTGTACTCGTGTCTATTGATGTTTGAGGTAAAAAAAACTAATAAAGGTATATTGTAGGCTTGGCTAATTAGTAGGGGAATCCCTTCACGCTATTCAAACCAACGAACCAAAACCAATGTGAAAGGTGGTTAGTGGTGAATTAGACATGGCGCAATGGGTGGGATATCGGGCAACGATCCTGTCTTTCAGTAGTCGTGAAGTACACGGGTCCCATTTTCTCACCAAGTCGTTACTCTTGTGTTGAGGGTTTATCAAACGAACAGCCCTGGTCGAGATTGGACAATTATAGGTGATAAGAAGACCTGTACAATATGACCCCTTGTACTCGAGAGCTATAGAAATATAGCGGACAAATAGGAACGAGGACTACAAGTGGCGTTCATCGTACTAAAAATATGTTCAAATAGGAGAACACAGTCTTAACTATATTTCGAGTTAAACATCTTTAGTTTGAGAATATGGGTTAACATGAAACAGGTAAGCTATTTGACAATTGATGTTGTTGTCGTTAGATGTTGTTTGATGTTTAACTGTTTCATTAGGTTTGCTTGATCGTCTTGTTTCCGGCGTGGTTTCCCCATTTCAGTGATGCAGGACGGATGACCTGACAAGACCAACTGCCTAGTCGTTTGGATTGGACGAAAACCCGAGGTGTGTGTACACATTGGCGTGCACGTAAAAGATCCCTTGGCAGTTGGAATTCGATATAAGAGTAGGCCATAGCGCCGCTGTCTGGGCAAATTTCCCTCGTAGCACACTGCATGGCGTATGCCCATCTTCATTAGCCCAGTCGGAGCAGAACAGTAGGACGTTAAATCCCATTTCATTTTTGTTGATCGCCTTGTTCTATTGACATTTGATGTTTCTTTGCTTTTGTTGTTTAATAATTTGATTAAGTTAGTCTTATTCGTTGTACGACATTCGATGTTGTTGGATGTTTAACACTTTCATTAGGAATGCCTGATCACGATTAAAATCGTGGTTTTTAATCGTGGAGTAATCGTAGTGATCCTATCAGATCTCATATATTGTGGTCAGTCGTAGCAATTGTGTTGATCGTATCGAAACATATCTGAACGTATCTGCATGTACCAGATCACGGAATCAATAGGAACAACCCTATCGTAACGCATCGTACGACGGTGGGAACACACTGTAAGAAATATCCATTGTTTTATGTGGACGAATTCCGTAGTTGAACACTTTTTTCTGTTAATCGGTGACTTTTTGTGAAGAAATTGTGTTAAAAGTGTGATTTATTTCTTCAAATTACATGTTTTATGTATTTCTATGGAATATTCAGTATTAAACAGGAAATTTCCGTGAAATTTAGGGATAAAATGTTTTATTCCTTTCTATAGTGGACTTAATTCTGTTATTTTACGGAATAATGGACTTAATTTTGTAGATTTACGGGATAAACAGTGGAGTAACTAGGAATTTCTGTGTGCAGATGCAACGATAAGTAATCGTATACATATCTAATAATTATCATGTTATAGTATTCATTTCATTTTATTAACCATAATATAAAGAATCATATTTTGTAAATTGTGGTATAATACATGTCATGTATATCTAATTTCCATTATTTATAAGATCTATAAAGTGTATTGTTATTCATCATACGTTAATCAGATTGTAAGTATTGTCATAAATGTATCAAAATATGTTTTAATGCTCCGTATGTCTAGGTTGTATTTTCTGGTAATCAAGTGAAATCCGGTGTGTCTCTATGGCAGAGTTTACATACCTGCTAATTGATAGAACCGCAACCCTAGGTTATATATACTATTCAAAAAAAGTAGGGGATATTTGATTTTGGGGGCATAATACTAAAATATGCAAATGACTACGAAAAAAGTCACTATAGAACCTAACAGAAGAAACATTTCCAGTTACATGTGACGCCCAAACGCACCAATAGCTACCGCATGGAATGCAGGTGATGCTTGGGATCATCATGGGGGTCCAACCCAAGATTTGCACGACTCTGACTTTGAATGTTACAGTCATTGTGGCATTGAATTCCAGGGTGGAAACATCAGTTTAATTGTTTTAGTGACCAGAAAACAAATTTTGATATGCGTCGGCTTACCCAAAATGAAAGGTTACGTGCCCTTGGCATGCTACAGATCGGCACAACACAGGCCGTTGTGGCGCGGACGATGAATGTTTCTCAGTCTGTCATAAGCAGGCTATGGTACAGATACCGTGATACACAATCTGTACAGGACAGACCACGCTCAGGTCGACCAAGGGCGACAACTCAAGCCCAGGATCGATTTATCCGTACCTTGGCCTTGAGAAATCGTGTCATCACAGCAAATCAGATCAGCGCTCGTCTTCAAACAGACACTGGTGTGAGAGTGAGTGGCCAGACGATTCGGAATCGACTGCATAGGGGTCACCTTCGCGCCCGACGTCCTCGCGTGATCCCTTGTTTGAGAGATCATCACATTCAGGCAAGACGTCGTTGGTGTAGGGATCGTCAACACTGGGATAATCGACGCTGGAGCAATGTGATGTTTTCAGATGAGTCAAGGTTCACTGTTGATTTTTTGGACAGACGTAGGAGGGTGTGGCGTCGTCGAAACGAGCGCTTCCAAGACGTTAACGTCATCCGACATGATCGATTTGGGGGTGGTTCTGTTATGGTGTGGGGAGGCATCACTGTTGCTGGAAGAACGGCTTTACATGTTGTTGCAGGGCGTGTTACAGGCCAGTACTACCGGGACAACATCTTGGCAGTCCATGTTGTGCCGTTCGCACGACGTCATGGCCGCCGTTTCATCTTCCAGGATGACAACGCAAGATGTCACAGGGCCAGGATCGTTACAGGTTACCTCCAACAACAGAACATCACCACATTACCTTGGCCAGCACTGAGTCCCGACCTCTCCCCCATCGAGCATGTCTGGGACATGCTTGGACAGAGGTTACGTCAACGTCAACAACGTCCTGCCAATGTCCAAGAACTTGCTGCTGCGTTGCAACAGGAATGGGACAATCTGGACCAAAATGACCTTAGACGTCTCATTAGGAGTATGCCACGTCGGATCAATGCTTGTTTGGCAAACAGAGGAGGATTTACCCGTTACTGACTTGGTTGTGATGCTGTGGTAACTTTGCTGTTTGACCCCGGGTATCATTTTACCCTTATAATGGTCAGTCTGTGCCTTACTTAGTCTAACGATCATTTGGAATAAATCGATGAATGTGAACTTCATTTCATTTTGTCATTTGTTTCTTCGTCAGTTTCATTAGGTGACTTTAATAACACTTAAAAATCAAATATCCCCTACTTTTTTTGAATAGTATATATCTGAAATCCTCTAAACGGTCCAATCACTAACTAGTAGCAGTTAGTAATACCTTGCGATCGTCTCTCGAAAAGGATATTCCCTGCTCATATTTTCGCGGAAAGAGTTTGCGTATAAAGATTATCTGCGATTTCACTTCTGTGGAAGCTGACGTTAAATAAAGTTATTTCACACACGCGTATAAAGTCAATGGTTAATTCAATTAAATTGTTATCACTTTCATGCCCAGGAAACAAAAATTACCAGGATTTTGTTTTTCTGTATTTGAAACTGGGTGAATTTGTGTTATTTGAAGGTATTTCTG